TATTTTCCAGTTTATATCTTTCAGTGCCAGTATCTGGACCACCCATGAGACTATTTTGTGCGTTTTTTCCTCTTCGTTTTTGGTCACTTACTCTTGGATCTTAGACTTAGGATGACTAACCACCCTGGTTTACTCAGTACTCACCTGGTTTTAGCAGTTCAAGTCTTGAATCGCAGGAAATTCCTTAGTCCTAAGGAAACCGGGACACTTGGTTACTTTTTAGTCCCAGTATGCATGGCAATCTTTTCTTGAATGCTGGACATTGAGTATGAAAAACTGGGATAATTTGAGATTCAAAAATATTAGATTGCTAGCAAAGTAATTGTGGTTGGACCTTGAATTTTATATCATTATAACTAGGCTCAAACACATCTTTTTATTAATTAAAGTAGGATCTGTTACGATCGACACATTTTTGCCAACAAGAAGTGAGTTTGTTTATTCCTGTACCATAAAAATCTGTGCTTCAGGATTTGACGAACTCTTGGAAAACATTTTCTGCATCCTTCTGGCTGTGTTTTCCCTGCACAAAGTTCTCAGGATGCTTGAAGAAGTGGTAATCTGTTGGCGAGAGGTCAGGTGAATATGGCAGATGAGGCAAAACTTTGTAGCCTGATTTGTTCAACTTTTGTTTTTGTTTTTTGTTTTGAGATGGAGTCTTGCTCTGTTGCCCAGGCTGGAGTGCAGTGACACTATCTCAGTTCACTGCAACTTCCGCCTCCTGGGTTCAAGTGATTCTCCTACCTCAGCCTCCCAAGTAGCTGGGATTACAGGTGTGTACCACCACACTCAGCTAATTTTTGTATTTTTGGTAGAGACAGCGTTTCACCATGTTGGCCAGCTGGTCTCGAACTCCTGATCTCAGGTGATCCGCCTGCCTTGGCCTCCCAAAGTGCTGGGACTACAGGTGTGAGCCACCATGCCTGGCCTTGTTCGACTTTTGAAGTGTTGGTTGTGTGACGTGCAGTAGGGCATTGTCGTGGAGAAGAATTGGGCCCCTTTTGTTGGTCAGTGCCAGCTGCAGGCATTGCAATTTTTGGTGCATCTCATCGATTTGTTAAGCATACTTCTCAGATGTAATGGTTTCGCTGGAATTCAGAAAACTGTAGTGGATCAGACTGACAGCAGACCACCAAACAGCGACCATGACCTTTCTTTGGTGCAAGTTTGGCTTTGGGAAGTGCTTTGGGGTTTCTTCTCAGTCCAGCCACTAACCTGGTCATTGCTGACTGTCTCATAAAATCCACTTTTTGTCAGACATCATAATCTGATTGAGAAATGATTCACTGTTGCGTAGAATAAGAGAAGACAACACTTCAAAATGACGATTTTTTTGATCTTCACTCAGCTCATGAGGCACCCACTTATCGAGCTTTTTCACCTTTCCAATTTGCTTCCAATGCCGAACAATCAGAATGGTCGGCGTTGAGTTACTCAGCAACTTCTCATGTAGTTGTAGGTTCAGCTTCTATGATTGCTCTCAATTGGTCGTTGTCATCTTCCGATGGCCACCACTACACCTCCCCATCTTCAAGGTTCTCGTCTCCTTTGGAAAATTTCTTGAACCCCCACTGCACTGTATGTTGCTGAGCCAAATGCATTGTGGATATCGCAGATTGTCTCCACTGCTTTACGACCCATTTTGAATTCGAATAAGAAAATTGCTCAAATCTGCTTTTTGTCTAACATTCCCATAGTCTAAAATAAACATAAAATAAGCAACAAATAACCCATTATTAGCAAAAAAAAAAATATAGCGAGAAATGCCCATTAAAATGATGTATGACATAACCACATTTATTTAAGAATGTATTCCAATATCAAACGGCAAATTCCAACAATGTAAAAACCACAATTATTTTTGCACTTGTATTATGCTTCATAGAGAATTTACTTTTGCTCTTAACATACAGAGTGGAGGCAAAGAATCTTTATCTAATCTTTATCTAGTCTGGGGCTGAGCTAACTCAAAACTGGGTTTCCGTTGATGAAGACAGGTCCATTTCCAGGTGACTCTTCCTCCTAGTAAGAAAGTCTTTGGAGGATCCCAGCCGAAGGTCTAGATATTTACTAAGCCCCTTCCCTGTGATAAGCCTGAAGGCCAGTTTTTTCCTCTCTAGTAAGATGAAACTGCTGGAAGCTTTCCTTTTTTTTTTTTTTTTTTTTTTGAGATGGAGTCTTGCTATGTCACTCAAGCTGGAGTGCAGTGGTACGATCTCGGCTCACTGCAACCGCCACCTGCTGGATGCAAGCAATTCTCCTGCCTCAGCCTCCTGAGTAGCTGGAACTACAGGCGTGTGCTACCACGCCTGGCTAATTTTTTTTTATTTTTAGTAGAGATGGGGTTTCACCGCGTGAGCCAGGATGGTCTCGATCTGCTGACCTCCTGACCTTGTGATCTGCCCGCCTCAGCCTCCCAAAGTGCTGGGATTACAGGCGTGAGCCACTGCGTCTGGCCACTTGGAAACATTCTTAAGCTTCTCAGCCCCTCAGCCACAGCTTCCAGTTCAGCAAACACCTTGAGGAAAATGCAGCATCTGGGGTACTCGTGGATTTGCCCTGTCTCTGGGACCTTGGCTCCTCAGGTTCCCCATGACTTCGTAGCCTTGAATGCTGATTTTGTCCCCCAGTCCCGTTAGACTGCTGAAACTCTGCTCAGCCTCTCAGTCTCTTTGCCATTTTATTTGGATGATGATTTGGCCGTCCAGCCCTTGGACGTGCAGCTGCAGTCATTCAATGTGTTCCTGATACAAGGAGAGTCAAGCAGGTCAGTAGAATAGAATCCAAAGTCCTGTGTTGCTTACACAGGGATCTATGCCTTGAAGTGAAAGGCAGCTCCAGATGTCAGGCTTACCTCCATGTGCTTCTCAACATCCTGGCTTCTTGCATCCTGGTGGTCTTGGCAGCTCTACAATGTCTTGAAATAGTTTGGTTGTCTAATTCAGCTAATTGTTATCAGCAGAAAAGTGTGCGTAACACCATTTAGTCTGCCATAGCCTGAAGCTGAGTCCCATGACGAATGCTGTATTATTCATTAGCCTCTCCATTCATCCACCTGGTTCTTCTCTCAGGCCGCTCACACCTTTTGCCAAGCTCCTCTATCCATTCTCTTCTATCTCATGCTGGCACACCAGTCCATGCCTTTTTTTTTTTTTTTTTTGATAGAGGGTTTTACCATGTTGGCCAGGCTGGTCTCAAACTCCTGACCTCAAGTGATCTACCTGCCTGTGCCTCCCAAAGTGCTGGGCTTACAGGCGTGAGCCACTGTGCCCGGTGTATGCCTTTTTGAGCGTGTAAAAATTTTACATTATTTTCCTTTTTAACAGTGGGATGGTGTTGGCAGGTGAGATTCTTCAGAGCCAGTGACTGGATGTGGTGAAGCTTGTTTTGTTCTTGGCATTCATCAGTTCAGGTTCCAGCCTGTCTGATGACTTGTTGGTATTATTTTTTGTTTGTTTGTTTGTTTGTTTTGAGACAGGGCCTCATTCTGTTGCCCAGGCTGGAGTGCAGTGGTGCAACTTCGGCTCACTGCAACCTCCGCCTCCTGAGTTAAAGCAATTCTTATGCCGCGGCCTCCCAAGTAGCTGGGATTACAGGCACATGCCACCTGCCTGGCTAATTTTTGTATTTTAGTAAAGGTTTCACCATGTTGGCCAGGCTAGTCTCAAACTCCTGACCTCCAGTGATCCACCGGCTTTGTCCTCCCAAAGTGCTAGGATTACGAGGGTGAGCCACCATGCCCGGTCTCAATTGTTGGTTTTGTTTTAATTTTATCTTTCCCTCGTGGTTCTGACTTTCTGCCCCCAGGCTTGTTTCTTTTTTTTTCTTTTCTTTTTTTTTTTTTTTTTTGAGACGGAGTCTCGCTCTGTCACCCAGGTTGGAGTGCAGTGGCGCAATCTCTGCTGCAAGCTCTGCCTCCCGGGTTCATGCCATTCTCCTGTCTCAGCCTCCTGAGTAGCTAGGACTGCAGGCGCCTGCCACCACACCTGGCTAAATTTTTTTTTTGTATTTTTAGTAGAGACGGGATTTCACTGTATTAGTCAGGATGGTCTCGATCTCCTGACCTCATGATCCACCCGTCTCGGCCTCCCAAAGTGCTGGGATTACAGGCGTGAGCCACCACGCCCGGTACTGCCAGGCTTGTTTCTTAGTTCCTTTTCAGGATGTTTTATAGTGTGGAGTAGCTAGTTGGGAATTCGAAGTATAAATCAGTTAGGCTTCTCTTCCTATAAAGACAGCACAGAGATTGGTAATGCAAATGTTGGCAAGTATTTTAGCACGTTTAATAGTGATGAGGTGGCTTATTGTATCTTTTAGGCCCAGGAATTTTGTGCTAATTAATGGCGTTGATTAGCCTCTCCTTATCTGCATCGTATAAGCTTGGAGTACCCTAGATTGTGATGATAGTTTTATTTTTCATTTTAGGTAACCAGAAAAATTTAAATACAATTTACTGTCACCTGGGGTAGACACTTTACTTGCTTTCTTCTATTTATTCCTCACCATAGCCCTACGAGATCAGTATGGTTTTTTCCAGTTAGACTTTGCCACAGCTAATGAGTGGCAGCACCGGCATTTGAGTCCAGGTCTATCTGATTCCCAGTCACAGCCACTTAGCCCCAGACTGTGATGCTTTCCACATAGCTGTCCTGCCATGGATTTTATCTTGGCCTCCTGAGAGTGATCTTGCAGAATTGCATAGGAGCTAGTCCATTTCTCCCCAAGCAATTTGTATTGAAGAATGAGATTGTATAACCTTTATTGCTACACAAAAACTATATCCAGGCAAGAGAGGGCCTTCTGAGGATTCTCTGTCTCCTTGGGATAGAACATGTGGCAACTTACTTTGCCTAAGTAGAAGCTGGTGCATTATTAACTTAACGTGAGTCAGGATACATGCTCTGTATGAGGTTTTATTTATGTGCTGTCTTGAAACCAGAACATCAGAAAAATGAATTAACTGTGAAGTAACTTATTATATCTGTTATTCTTGATTTCAGGGAAGTTTAATTAGCATTGATAGCACCTGTACAGAGATGGGCAATTTTGACAATGCTAATGTCACTGGAGAAATAGAATTTGCCATTCGTTATTGCTTCAAAACCCATTCTTTAGAAATATGCATCAAGGCCTGTAAGAACCTTGCCTATGGAGAAGAAAAGAAGAAAAAGTGCAATCCGTAAGTTTTTTTTTTTTTTTTAACATAAGACATATTGATTCTAAAATTTATATGAAAAAGTAAAAGTCTAAGAATAACCAAGACAATTATTTAAAAGAAACAAAAATGAGAAGGCTTACTTCAAGAATTATTATAAAGCTGTAGCAGTGCAAACAATGTGTTATTGATACAAGGATAGAACAAGTCAGGAGAGTAGAATCAAAAGTCCAGATACAGACCTTAGTGTATATGAAAACTTACATGATCAAGGAGTGTCTTCGTCCATTTCGGCTGCTGTGACAGAATACCATAGACCAGGTGGCTTATAAACAAGACAAATATATATCTCACAGTTCTGGAGGCTGGGAAGTCGAAGATCAAGGTGCTGGTAGATTTGGTATCTAGTGAGGACCCCCTTTCTGGTTCTTAGATGGCTGTTTTCTTGTGTCCCCACATGGTAGAAGGGACAAGGCAGCTCTCTGAGGCCTCTTCTATGAGGGCACTAATCTCATTCATGAGGGCTGCACCCTCATGACCTAATCACCTCCCAGAGACCCTACCTCCTAATACCATCACACTGTAGGTTAGGCTTCAACTATGAATTGGTGAGTGGGGTGGACATAAACATTCAGCTGAGGAGCTATTACAGATGGGTGGGGAAAAGTGGACTTCAATAAATGATGTTGGAAAATTTGGCTTTCCACACAGGAAATACAAAATGTAAATCTTGACTCACACAATCCATAAAGAGATTTAAAATGTTATTCTCACTGATAGATATGAAAAGGTGTAGCACTATTATTATTATTATTATTATTATTATTATATATTTTTTGAGACAGAGTCTTGCTGTGTCACCCAGGCTGGAGTGCAGTGGTGCGATCTCGGCTCACTGCAACCTCCGCCTCCCGGGTTCAAGCGATTCTCTTGCCTGAGCCTCCCGAGCAGCTGGGACTGCAGGCATGCACCACCATGCCCAGCTAACTTTTGTATTTTTAGTAGAGACGGGGTTTCACCATATTGGCCAGGCTGGTCTCAAACTCCTGACCTCGTGATCCACCCACCTTGGCCTCCCAAAGTGCTGGGATTACAAGTGTGAGCCACCGCACCCAGCCAGCACCATTATTTTAATGTGCATTTCCCTTATTACTGACAAAGATGAGCAACTTGTTTAAAAATAAATAAATAAATAGACACAGGGTCTCACTATGTTGCTCAACCTGATCTTGAACTCTTGGGCTCAAGAAATTCTCCCGCCTCAGCCTCCCCAAATGCTGAGATTACAGGTGCAAGCCCAGCCTTTTGAGCCACTTCTTATATATGCATTTGCCAGTTAGGTTTATTTTATTTTATTTTATTTGAGACGGAGTCTTGCTCTGTTGCCCAGGCTGGAGTGCAGTGGCACGATCTCGGCTCACTGCAACCTCCGCCTCCTGAGTTCAAGCAATTCTCCTGCCTCAGCCTCCTGAGTAGCTGGGACTACAGGGGTGGAGTGCAGTGGCACGATCACGGCTCACTGCAGGCTCAAGTGATCCCCCTGCCTCAGCCTCCTGAGTAGCTGGAAGGCACATGCCTGTAGTCCCAGCTATGTAGGAGGCTAAATTTGTAACTTTTTTTTTCCAGCTAGATTTTTTAACTTATTTTTGTAGAGACAGGGTTTTGTTCTGTTACCAATGCTGGTCTCAAACTCCTGGGCTCAAGCCATCCTCACACCTCAACCTCCCAAAGCTCTGGGATTACAACGATGAGCCACTGCACCTGGCCTCCCATTTTTCTATTGGATTGTTTATTGTTTTATTTATTTACCAGAGGTATTTTGTTAAACCTAATTTAAATAGGTTTAAAAATTATTTATTAGTTATATGTATTGCATATATTTTATCTCAGCTGTAACTTATTTTCTAACTCGTTTATTATGGCTTGTCTTGTAGAAAGTTTAATATTAAATTTATCAAGCTTTTCCTTTAAACTGTCTGCTTTTTGTGTCTGTAGAAGAATTCTTATGGCACCCAAGAATTTAAATACATTCTCTGTTTTCTTCTAATCATTTTTTTTCCCACAGTTAGATTTGTTCACATTACAACTGAAATTGATTTTCTAAATATAGTTTAAGGCAGGGGCCTCATTTTTGCCTTTCTTTTTTCTTACATGGGGAACTTCTGGCATACTGTTTTAATTACCACCTAAAGAGTGATGATGGGAAAAGAAATCAATTGTTGATTTAATCAAACCCTCTGCTGCTCTGAAATTTTTAGCAGCTCTTTAGTACTAGACAAATGAAGTACACATTTCTATAGCACTTACGGTTCCTTCATAACAGAATCTCTCCTTTTGTTCTAGTCTTAGCTGTTATTATTACTCTTCCTGTACCGTCTACCTCAGGAAAACTGGAATAGTCTTTCTCCCAAAAGTATTTCGTGCCTTTTACATTTCAAAATTTGAGGGATGCAGTTAAAGCAGTGCTTATATTTAAAAGAAAAAAAGTTTAAAATGATTTATTTAAACCTCCACCTTAAAATGCTAGAGAAAGGCTGGGTGCTGTGGCTCACAACTATAATCCCAGCACTCTGGGAGGCCAAGGCGGGTGGTTCACCTGAGGTCAGGAGTTTGAGACAAGCCTGGACAACATGGTGAAACCCCGTCTCTACTAAAAATACAAAAATTAGCTGGGCGTGGTGGTGCACTCCTGTAATCCCAGCTACTAGGGAGGCTGAGGCAGGAGAATCCCTTGAACCAGGGAGGTAGACGTTGCAGTGAGCTGAGATTGCGTCATTGCACTCCAACCTGGGCAACAAGAGCAAAACTCTGCCTCAAAAAAAAAAAAAAAGAATACTCAAATACCGGTATAGGAATGAAAGAAGAGACAACATAACAGCACTTGCAGACATTAAAGTACAATAAGGGGGCCAGGCATGGGGGCTCATGACTGCAATCCCAGCACTTTGGGAAGCCGAGGCAGGTGGATCACCTGAGGGTCAGGAGTTCAAGACCAGCCTGGCCAACATGGTGAAACCCCGTCTCTACTAAAAATACAGAAAAAATTAGCCAGGCATGGTGGCGTGTGCCTGTAATCCCAGCTACACAGGAGGCTGAGGCAGGAGAATTCTTTGAACCCAGGAGGCAGAGGTTGTAGTGAGCCAAGATCATGTCACTGCACTCCAGCCTGGGTGACAAAGTGAGACTCCCTCTCATTAAAAATAATAATAATAATAAATAAAAATTAGCCAGGCGTGGTGGCACATGCCTGTGTCCCAGCTACTTGGGAGGCTGAGGTGGGAGAATCACCTCAGCCCGGGAGGTGGAGGTTGCAGTGAGCTGAGATTGTGCCACTGTACTCCAGCCTGGTGAGACTCTGTCTGGAAAAAAAAAAAAGTGTAATAAGGGTATATTATATTAAATTTTGTGCTAATAAATTTAACAACTTAGATGAAATGAAAACCTTCTTTTTTTTTTTTTTTTTTTTTTTCTTTTTTTAGAAACAAGGTCTCACTATGTTGCCCAGGCTGGTCTCAAACTCCTGAGCTCAACTGGTCCTACTGCCTCAGCCTCCCGAGTAGCTGGGATCACAGGTGCACACCACCATGCCCAACCAATTAAAAAAAAATTTTAGTAGCGATGAGGTCCCACTATGTTGCCCAGGCTGGTCTCAAATTCCTGGGCTCATGAAATCCTCACACCTCGGCCTTCCAAAATGCTGGGATTACAGGCGTGAGCCACCACACCTGGCTGAAATCGACACATTCTCAAGAGACACAAATTGCCAAAACTGACATGAAATGAAATAGAAGACCTGCATAACCCTGTATCTGTTAAAGAGATTGAATTGGTAATTTGGCATCATCTAGAAAAGTTGAAGGGGCATATACCCTATCACCTCTGGTTATATGCCAAGAGAAATGCTTGCACATGTGCACCATGAGCAGAGCGAAAAACTAGGACATAAGACAAATATTCATCAACAGGACAAATGACTTGTGTATTCATTCAATAGAGTGATATGTAGGATTAGAGATGAACGAGTGGCGGTTATAGCAACATAGATAAATCCCAAACATAATATTGAGTGAAAAAAAGCAAGTTACAGAAGAATGTGTACAGAATGATCCCATTTATATGAAAGTTCAAAAACAGGGAAAACTAAGCAGTACATTGTTTAAGGAGACACATCAAAATGGTGAAACCATAAAGAAAAGCAATGGGGTGATAAATATAAAATCCAATACGGTTATTACCTGGTTACGGGCAGGATTATGATAGGGAAGTCATTGGTTATGTTCTGTTTCCTAAGCTGGGGGACGGGTACATGGGAATGCACTTTATTATAATGCTTCCAACCATATAGGTTTATTTTATATATTCTGTTTTACATATATGAGATTGCATGAATGTGTACCACTCAATAACTTAAGAGTAAACTGTGGAGAATTCGAGACAGGGAGTTTTGAGGGATTTTTTGTTTTGTTTTGTTTTGTTTGATACAGAGTCTTGCTTTGCACCTAGGCTGCAATGCGGTGATGTCATCATGGCTCACTTCAGCCTTGACCTCCTGGGCTCAGGTGATCCTCCAACTTCAGGCGTCGAGTAGCTGGGACTACACATGCACACCACCACACCCAGTTGACTTTTAAATTTTTCGTGGCGATGAGTTCTCCATATGCATTGCCCAGACTGGTCTCAAATTTCTGGCTTATGGAATCCTCTCTGAGCTACCATGCCTGGCCAGTTTTTGGGGTGTTTTTGTTGTTGTTGTTGTTGTTGTTGCTGTTTTTGAGATGGAATCTCCCTTTATCGCCCAGGCTGGAGGGCAGTGGCGCGATCCCGGCTCACTGCAACCTCCATCTCCCAGGTACAAGCGATTCTCCTGCCTCAGCCTCTTGAGTCGCTGGGATTACAGGTGCATGCCACCACGCCTGGCTAATTTTTGTATTTTTAGTACAGACAGGGTTTCACCATGTTGGCCAGGCTGGTCTCAAACTCCTGATCACAGGTGATCCGCCCGCCTCAGCCTCCCAAAGCGCAGGGATTATAGGTGTGAGCTTCCGTGCCCGGCCTCCTGGCCAATTTCAAGTATTTTTACAAAAAGTTTAACTGAGAGGGAAAAGAGGCCCATGACTGGGGCTAAAGAAGGGCACAGATAGAGGGAGGCTCACTGTGATTTTTTACTTTGGAAAGTGGAGCCTGTTTCTAGCCTGTGGAGAGGGGGCTTGGACTGCTGCTGGTGGGGTGCGGGGGAGGCGGTCATTGCCATCACTGGGGCTGCCAGAGGAGCCATGAAGGGCAGCGTAGGGGCCTGTTTGGAGGGGTCAGCCTAGAACAGGACAGGACATGTCTTCCTCTCCGCCTGGATTTCAGGAGCTGGGTGAGTGCAGATGGAGCCACCTGTCATGCTGCGTGCGACCTCTAGACTCAGCAGAATCCCACTTCTCAGCGGTTGGGAGGAGCAGAGTCTTTGAGGCCCCTGCAAGGAAACAGCACAGTGCGAGGCTTATGCTTTTTTCCACTTCCACTTTGTTTTCTTTTGCAGATGGTGGGTGGTAGAAGGGACGGGAATCCAGCTCATGGCCTTGACGTCCAGGCAGGCAAGAGAATCTCTGGTTCCATGGTCTTCACCAAATGGAGTAGGGCCTGAGGAAGGCAGGATGAGCTTCACACCCCCAGGAATATTCCAGAGGGTTATGTAGTCAGCATTTGACCATAGACTGCGTGAATCAGAAGCTGCCCACCCAGCACTAACATTGCTCACTATTAGGTTATTAAGTCCTTTCTATCAAAAATTCCAGCAGGAAACCTGGTAAAGAAAATGCTGGTGCGTGGGTTCTGCTGCCCCCAAACTCTTTATCCACCCTTTTCCCTGAGTTCTCACCTCTGTCCCCGCTGTGCTTGGCCCCTAGGTATGTGAAGACCTACCTTCTGCCTGACAGATCGTCCCAGGGGAAACGCAAGACTGGAGTCCAAAGGAACACGGTGGACCCGACCTTTCAGGAGACCTTGAAGGTACTTGCTAGACAGATGTTCCTGTGCAGAGTCCTCCCCAGCCCCAGTGGGGTGCCCGGGGCAGAGTCCAGTGGATGGTGCTTTCAAACTCTTGACTCAGTTAGATATAATGCAGACACCTATATGTTTCTTTGTGGCTCTGTCAATCAGTGTTAAGTTGGTAGAAAATAAATGTCAGCCTTTGTACCGGAAAAGTGCAGAGTCTGCCAGACTCAGGAATGGCTTTTGATTAATGATTTCTGAGAAGATAGTGAAAAAGAACCTGGCTGCCTCTTTGTCTCGGGCTAACACTGGAGCACAGGATAATTTTAAAAATGTTTTTGTGAATGTTTCTATCAAAGAGGTGCTCCCAAACAGAGTGCCCTGAAAATTAAACTTCTGAGTTACTGTCTTCGTAAAAGTACCCCTTTATTGTATTTCTGACAAACTCAGGTTTCTTCTAATTTTATTTTTTAATGTATCCTTTTATGAAAAATCTTACAAAGGAATTGTTTGGGTTTTCACTTTCGATGATACTAGGAAATGTGATTGATGGTTGAGGGCAGAGACGGGGCCACGCGCTCTGGTTTCGGGTGGAAGGCTGCAGCTGAGGTCTGGTATCTAGGAGAGCTGGCGGTGGCGGCCCCCATCTCGGTGCAGGGCGAGGAGGGTAGCCCAGACCTGTGGAGGCTACCCCGCCCGGGCTGGGCAGCCAGAGGTCCTCTCGTCTCATGCCTGTGACAGGAGAGGGCTTTGTTTGCCTTTCTTGGCAAGTAGGGGTGCCTGTGAGCTGCCAGTCAGGGGCCATCTGGGCAGCTGGCACGGAGCCCTGAGTTCATTAAATAATAGTAGCGCTTGTCTCCCGGGTCCCTACTGTGACCAAGTGCTTTATATACAGCCTGGAGTAAGTATTAGAATCCTCATTTACCCGTGGGGAAATTGAGACCTAGAGAGTCGTTAGAAATACAGCTCAAAGCCACAAAGGACTGGCGGTTCTCAAAATTTATGTGCATAAAATCCTGTGGGGATTTACGTTTTTAAAATATTTTTTCTTTTTTCTTTTTTTTTTTTTTGAGACGGAGTTTCACTCTTGGTCGCCCAGGCTGAAATGCAGTGGCGTGATCTTGGTTCACTGCAACCTCCACCTCCCGCGTTCAAGCGATTCTCCTGCCTCAGCCTCCTGAGTAGCTGGGATTAAAGGTGCCTGTCACCACGGCCGGCAAATTTTTTTGTGTTTTTAGTAGAGATGGGGTTTCACCATGTTGACCAGGCTGGTCTTGAACTCCTGACCTCAGGTGATCTGCCCACCCTGGCCTCCCAAAGTGCTGGGATTACAGGCTTGAGTCACCACGCCTGGCCTAAATTTATTTTCTAAGATGCAGCTGTACTTGGACCCTGGGGATTTTTTTTTAAATGCAGATTCTGGGCTGGTCACGATGGGCCACACCTGTAATCCCAGCACCTTGGGAGGCCAAGGTGGGCGAATCACAAGTCAGGAGTTCGAGACCAGCCTGGCCAAGATGGTGAAACCCCGTCTCTACTAAAAACACAAAAAATTAGCAAGGTGTAGTGGTGGGTACCTGTAATCCCAGCTACTCAGGAGGCTGAGGCAGGAGAATTGCTTGAACCCAGGAGGCAGAGGTTGCAGTGAGTCGAGATCACACCACTGCAGTCCAGCCCTGGTGACAGAGTAATACTCTGTCTAAAAAAAATAATTAATTAATTTTTAAAAAAAAGCAGATTCTGATTCAGCAGACGTGGGCAGAGCCTTTCTCCCTGTGCTGGGACCAGGCACCACACAGCAGCAAGTCGCTGGAGAATGTCTTCGGATGGTTCTGCTCATGCACCTGCTAGAAGAATTGTGAAAAACTGTGTATCCCCTCACACATTTTAATTAGAGATCCAAAGTTACTCATAGGAAGTTTAAGGTATTTTGTGTAAACAGCTTTATGAAATGAGATGAACATTTCATATTGTCTATATTTTAGATAAATATTTAGTTGTAAGGCCGGGCATGGTGGCTCACACCTGTAATCCCAGCACTTTGGGAGGCTGAGGCGGGTGGATCATGAGGTCAGGAGATCGAGACCATCCTGGCTAACACAGTGAAACCCCATCTCTACTAAAAATACAAAAAAAAATTTAGCCAGGCGTGGTGTGAACCTGGGAGGCAGAGCTTGCAGTGAGTGGAGATCTCGCCACTGCACTCCAGCCTGGGTGATTGAGTGAGACTCTGTCTCAAAAAAAAAAAAAAAAGGTTATATAATTGGATTTAAAACGTTACCTACCTTACTTAAAATGTGCACAGAACCTCAAAGATATCACTTAAAATTTTTAGCCGTGGGTCTTATCTAGTATATTGTGAATATTTTATAGTCCTGGGAAACTTTCCAGTTACAATGAAAATAATCAGCATCTCTAATCGATCCTAAATGCAGAACATCCTAACACTGGCCAGCCTCGTCCTTAATAGAAATATGCATAAGATGCAAAGGATGGGAAGCCAGGGAGGCTGATCCATCACTGAAAGTCTCACAGGAGGTAGTATTTCCAATCACAGTCACCCCTTTGTGCTGCCCCCAGGAGCTTTGTGCGACCTGGGGTGAGCCATCGGAGCACGATTCAGGTGGATGAGGCTGTGAGAACTGTCTCCAGCCAGTTTTGAGAGAAGTGCACATCCGATGCGAGGATCTAGAAATTGATCCTCAAAGTTTGCTGAGCAGAGTACTTCTTGGCAAGCCTTTCTGGACCCAGAGAGACTTGTACCCTATTTGAGACCACTGTCTTGGGGGCCCGGAGAAGATGAAGTGATCTCACTGGGTGACATTGGTCATTGCCCGGCCCTGCTCTCGAATGATCCTTACACCTCATTCCCTGCTGAACCTGGAGCAAGCCTTGTGGACCTAACAGGGCAATGGAAAATACGTCTGGTTTGAAAAGGCAGATTCTATATGCAGCAGGGAGTAGTCCTATTGACAGAAAGGGGCGAGCAATGGGTAAGGACACAGGAGAAGTGGCCTGAGCGTCGCCCACACACAGCTGGAGATGAGAGAGCAGCCTGGGGCCCGAGCCCGACCTTGCTAAGTGGCGTAGTGTTCCAGTAACCACTTCATTTCTCAGAGGGCAGCAGATGCAGCCAGCCCGCTGGCCAGTTGCCTGGACTAACTGATAAGGAATGTAACTGGAATATAGGGAATAATCACGTCAATCCAGAGTTTGTAGACAGATTGAATGTGGGGCAGAGTCGGAAATGGACCCATGGACTGGGTGTGGGGGTTCACGCTTGTAATCCCAGAACTTTGGGAGGCTGAGATGGGTGGATGACTTGAGGCCAGGAGTTTGAGACCAGCCTGGGCAATGTAGAGAGACCCCCATCTCTAGAAGAAATTCAGATTAGCCAGGCATGGTGACACCTACCTGTAGTCCCAACTACTTGGGAAGCTGAGGTAGGAGGATTGCTTGAGCCTGGGAGGTGGAGGCTGCAGTGAGCTGAGATTGCACCGCTGCACTCCAGTCTAGGTGACAGACTGAGATCCTGTCCCCCCAGAAAAGATATGGACCCATGGACTTGAGGGAAAACTGGCTCAAAGTTATCCAAAGGCAGGAGAAAAAGGAATATGACCCAAGAAATTCGCATCTCCGTGGCCACAAGCCGTCCCAGCGGGGAAGAAAAGGAGGAATGAAGCGAGGAGGCTAACCTGGCCAGCCAAGCCATGTGTGCCTGGCCTGCGGACGTCAGAAGTGTGGACAGAGCCTACGGGCAGCCCCCAGCAGAGCAGGGGACGGCCCTGCTGTGCCTCCCCTCTGTTTGCAGAGGCTGAAGGAGAGAAGTTACTGCGTTTCAGTTCCTGTTTTATTCCATGTCATCCCTCGATTGGAAAGATGGGTGAAGGTGGGCATGAGGAGATGAACCCCAAAGTAAACAAACCGCACAGCTGCTGCAAGTGGGTGCAAGTGTCCAGCCTCACAGCAACAGCCATTTCACGAGGAGTCACCATTCAAACCCCAAACAAGCACCAGAGTGAGGGCAGCATGGGCCACAGAGGTCGGCAGCGAGACTTGGGCCTGGACACAGTGAGTGCACGTGACGCGGGCCTGCAGTGTTGGCTGCCAGACCAAGGGAGGGTCACTGAATTTCCAAGCTTCTTTTTTTTCACCTGCAAAATGGTCTGAATAATACTGACCTCGTGGGGTGCGTGTGAAAGCTAAAAAGATCAATGCATCTAAAAAGCCTGGTATGAAATAAATAAGTGTTCAATAACTTGTAGGTTGTGTTCAATAACTTGTAGGTTTTGTTCATTATTGAGAAAATCCAACTAATAAGCTTAAAGTGAGGCCCTCAGATGCTGAGGTGGAGTCAGCCATACCTTGGGAAGGGCTGGGTGTCATGCAGGGGCCTTTGGCCTCCAGTCTCTATGGGACAGAACCCATGCTCGGCTGGGGAAGGGGTTCTCTCGTCACTCTTGGGTGTGTTGGGAACCCCCTGTGCGGATAGTAGGAACATCGTGTTGCCCTCTGCCAAGCCAGCACAGGCCCTGCATGCCTGGACACAGGCATCATCCCTCCAGGGCAAATACGTGGTATGGGGGGGAATGGAGGAGGGGGAGTTCATGGTTGGCTTAAAACAAAAAAATACAGGCCGGGCACGGTGGCTCACGCCTGTAATCCCAGCACTTTGGGAGGCCGAGGCAGGTGGATCATTTGAGGTCAGGAGTTCGAGACCAGCCTGGCCAACATGGTGAAACCCTGTCTCTACTAAAAATACAAAAAATGAGCCAGGCATGGTGGTGAGCGCCTATAGTCCCAGCTACTCGGGAGGCTGAGGCAGGAGAATCACTTGAACCCAGGAGGCAGAGGTTGCAGTGAGCTGAGATAGGACCACTGCACTTCAGCCTGGGTGACATAATGAGACCCTGTCTCCAAAAAAAAAAATTTTTTTTTTAGTATTTTTGGGCCTGTTTTCAGTATTTTTGGCCAAGCCTGGCTGGGTGCAGTGTTCAGATGCAAATTCAAATCCTGTGTGAGCATAGATTTGGCTTGATTTTTAGTAGGCGTGAGCTGGGCAAGGACTTTCATCCTTGTCTTGTTCTGAGAATTGGGGGTTGGAGGGGCTCAGTGGCTACCAGGGCTACCCTAGCCTGTCCCCAGGCAGAGCACTGGGCACCTGGGGAGTAGCGGGAGGGGCTCTTGAGCCAGAGAGAGGACCCCCCGCCCCAACCTGGCTGTAAGTACCTTGACCCCCGCAGCCACATCAGGTCCCTGGCTGCATCCGCATCTTGGACTCAGCCTGTGGGAGGGAGGCCTGCGCCAGGCCCCGGGAAGTGGGGCCCTGGGAGGTGGGGTCGGAGATCCTAGGAGTGCGGGCCCCAGGAGCTCAGCTGACCATCTCTGCTCTGCCTCTGCAGTATCAGGTGGCCCCTGCCCAGCTGGTGACCCGGCAGCTGCAGGTCTCGGTGTGGCATCTGGGCACGCTGGCCCGGAGAGTGTTTCTTGGAGAAGTGATCATTCCTCTGGCCGCGTGGGACTTTGAAGACAGCACAACACAGTCTTTCTGCTGGCATCCACTCCGGGCCAAGGTGATGTCTGGTTTTGGACTGAGTGCCCTCCATCCCCACTGTGATAAATAAATCACTTTTCAGAGAGATCCCAGAGGAGAAAACATACCTGGAAAGACTTGGACCCAAGACAGTGTGTGCTTGCCGGCCTGGCGCTGTGACTTTCAAATAGTTACTTTCTCCTGGGTGGGGTGGACGGAGGGATTGTTTTAACTGTCTCAGCTCTGTTCAGGTACCCAACAGTCCCCGCCTCGCATCACACACACAGACCCGACTGGATCAGGTCCTGTGGCTTCCCCTAGCAGAGGCCTCACCTTGCTGGTGGCTGACGTGCTGGAAGCCGGCCATGCCCTTCCCTGCGGGCACCACCCACAGCTATGCGGTCCCCCTGGGGGCTACAGTGCGTTTTTTCTAACCTTTGAACCCCAGGTACTCTCAGAACAATAACAGGTGACAGATGACTGGACCCAATGCTATGAGGAAGGCAGAGGCCGCCCTGACTGGGTTGTTAAGCTCCAGCTTCTGGTTTGGAATTGTACAGCAGGAGATGGATAGCAAATGGGCAGGTGGGCGGGTCAGAGGAGTTGACTCGATTTAGGATCCGTGTCCCCCAGGCTGTGCAGGTAGGAGGAGAGGCCTGGGAGAGAGGTTAGCATTTCTTGGAAACTCTGCTTTGTACTTTTCTGTGTCCAGATCCCAGACTGGGAGAGAGTTCATGTGAGACCATGAGGGATGAAAAACGTGGGCTTCTGCCATCTCTTTAAAAACCCCAGCCGGGAGGCCGAGCACGGTGGCTGTCAGCAAAGTGCTGTAATCCCAGCGCTTTGGGAGGCCGAGGCAGACAGATCGCGAGGTCAGGAGATCAAGACCATCCTGGCTAACACGGTGAAACCCCGTCTCTACTAAAAATACAAAAATTAACTGGGTGTGGTGGCGGGCGCCTGTAATCCCAGCTACTCGAGAGGCTGAGACAAGAGAATTGCTTGAACCCGGGAGGCGGAGGTTGCAGTGAGCCGAGATCGTGCCACTACATTTCAGCCTGGTGACAGAGCAAGACTCCGTCTGAAAACAAAACAAAACAAAAACGAAAACAAACCAGCCGGATGGATTACTCCCCTCAGCCAAGGGCCCACAGCAGGCCCAGCCTTCTGCTCCAACCTGGACCTAGGGCACAGGGGCCATCTGGCTTCTTTTCCTCTCTGGAGCCAGCACCGCTGGGATTTGCAGTGTCGCTGCCAGGAAGCTTCTCAGGTTTCACCCGAGGCCTCCTGGTGAGCCACCTGCCCCCTCCCTGCTCCTCCAGGCAATGCCCACACTCCCACCGCCTGTGCTGACTCCTCCAAGCTAGAGTCTGGGCTTAGACTTCCCCTTCCCAGTGCCCACCTGGAATGCATCCCCTATCCAAGGTCAGCCCAAGACAACCCAAAGCCTACCTCCTCTAGGAAGCCTTTCCTGATTACCCCTACCAGAAGTGGCCTCCCTTCCAGGACCCGGAGCTCAGGATGCTTGTCGTCTCTGGGCCTGATCTTCAGCTACGGTGTCCCTTTGCTCCTGTCCCAGCCATGCTGCCGGGGGGTGAAGCGTCTGGCTTCCATGCCTTCTTCTCATCCCCACTCTCATCTCTCAGAAGAGCGTCGGCTCCTCCAGGACACCCTGTTTCCAGCCTAGACTCCCTTCTGTCAGAGGCTGAATCCCCCGTGCACCCTATCTCCCACACCTCTGTCATCAGCTTGAAGACAAGGCCTGGAACAAGCACAGGGCCTGGCATAGGACAGGCGGCCACCAGGCCTCATCAGACTGAGCCTGCTCTGGCAAGTGGGTGGGGAGCAGATGGCATGGAGCTGAAAGGCATCCCTCCTAAAGCCAGTGGGGTGGGGAGTCCGCCCACAGGCCTGCCCCGGGCTCCATCCTGACTGGGTTTCTGACTGCCGAAGCTGGAGACAGCCATATCTCGTTTGGTACCCGAGGGCCAGGAAGACGGGGGCTTGCCCATGTGGGCTCCCAGGAGGCTTGAGGCCTCTGAGGGTAACCGAGAGGGCTGCTTCTCAGTGCTGGCGGAAGCCATGGTGGACCGGATGTGTCGAGACCAAACTTGTCCAACCTGCAGCCCAGGACAGCTGTTTTTTGGTTTTTGTTGTTTGTTTTGAGACGGAGTTTTGCTCTGTCACCCAGGCTGGAGTGAAGCAGCATGATCTCAGCTTACTGCAACCTCTGTCCCCCAGGTTCAAGTAATTCTCTGCCTCAGCCTCCCCAGTAGCTGGGATTATAGGCACCCGCCACCATGCCCAGCTAGGTTTTTTTGGTATTTTTAGTAGACATGGGGTTTCACCATGTTGGCCAGGCTGGTCTCAAACTCCTGACCTCAGGTGATCCACCTCGGCCTCCCAAAGTGCTGGGATTACAGGCATGAGTCACCAGGCCTGGCCCTAGGATGGCATTGAATGCAACCCAACACAAATTCATAAACTTTCTTGAAACATGAGACTTCTTCGTGATTTTTTTTAAAGCTCATCAGCTGTTGTTAGTGTTAGTGTATTTTATGTGTGACCCAAGACAGTTCTTCCAGTGTGGCCCAGGGAAGCCAGAAGACTGGATATGCCTGCTCTAGTCTCTTCCCAATACTCTCCTCCCACCCCACTGGGAGAAAGATGGTGTGGATTTCAGGATCATCTCTTCTCCCGGCCCTCTCTTCACTCACTTTCTGGCAAAACCACTCATGACAGAAGCGCCTCGGTGGGCAGGGACATGTCCTGAGACTTACCACACCCTGGGGGGCCACCCCCGGTGGCTCTGGGCAGAGTCTACGCCCCATGCTGTCCCCAGCATCTGTGCCAGTCCTTGGCATTGGAAGGCAGCGCGAATCTCTACTGACCTGGGTGGGGTGGATGGGGTGGAGGCTTGAGTTCATTTCTGTTTTTCAAACTCAGGCTGCGTCTAGGTTTTCGTAGAAATGTCTTAGGGAGTGTGCAATGCCCTCAAGTCACTCTGCTTCCTTAAGCTCATCTGGCTGTGATTCGCTGGAGTGGCCGAGCTGTTCCTCCCCATGCTGGGGTTGGGGAGGGTGGGTGTGAAACCATAGATGGAAGGAAGACCAGTCCTGCCACACACACGCCTGCTCCCCCCAGGGCCTTGCAGGGGCCAGGGGGAAGCATCTGTGGACAGAGCTGCGACAACCAGAGGAGCCCGAAGGTTCTCGGGACTTGGGGAGTACCGTGCCTAAGCTGTGCCTCTCTTCCCCAGGCAGAGAAATACGAAGACAGCACTCCTCAGAGCAACGGAGAGCTCGCAGTCCGAGCTAAGCTGGTCCTCCCTTCAGGGCCCAGAAAACTCCAAGAGGCTCAAGGTCGGTGGCCTCCAGCCCCCTGGACATTGTCTGTGTCATTGTCCGCAGAGGCTGGTGCAGCAGGCAGACTGAGAGATGGGGTAAAAGTTTTCTAGCATTTCCTTTCTACGGCCCCCGTGCCCAGCTCCAGCAGCAATTTTCTGAGCGATGCAGCGAGCGAGAAGGGAAGAGGTTCTCTGGAGCCCATAGCCTGGGGGGAAACGGGTGACCAGAAGCAGACAAGGCCTCCGATGCCCTCTGTACACTCCTCTAAGGATACTGCCCTAGGCCTTCCTCCCAGGGGCAGATTGGATGGTCTCTGGGGGGAACCGTGGACCCTCCTGAAGAGCAGAGGCTCCATGACAATGTGGAGCCAAGAGCACATCTCGAGGCGCTGGTACCTGCAGGGCTCAGATGAGATAAATCCCTGCCCCCAGGCACGTGGGTAGCTGCTGCCCAGCAAAAGAAGTAGGTCAGGAAGGTGGGTCCTCAGGGACCCTATGGAGATTTTACTCCTTCAATAACGTGGGGTGTGTGGAAAGCAGGAGGGTGGGGAAGGAGGAGAGTGGGGAAGGAGGACAGGGGGAATGCACATTTTTTTTTTTTTTGAGACGGAGTCTCGCTCTGTCACCCAGGCTGGAGTGCAGTGGCCCATCTTGGCTCACTGCAAGTTCCACCTCCCTGGTTCACGCCATTCTTCTGCCTCAGCCTCCTGAGTAGCTGGGACTACAGGTGCCCGCCACCACACCTGGCTAATTTTTGTATTTTTAGTAGAGATGAGGTTTCATCGTGTTAGCCAGGATGGTCTTAATCTCCTGACCTTGTGATCTGCCGGCCTCGGCCTCCCAAAGTGCTGGGATTACAGGCGTGAGCCACCACGCCTGGCCGAGAATGCACATTTCTGTTGTTTCAGTGACTTCCTATTTGGCTAGAAGAGGGAATTCTGCTACCCAAGTTCACGGGGTCACCAGCAGACCAGCAGCAAGTGCCCCATGGCCATCCCAACCTCCTAGACAGAGTCTCGGGGCTCTCACTTCCCCCCAAACTGCTGGCTACAACTAAGACTCAGACTTCAGCGTCTTCCCTCTCCTTGTGTTCCTCTTTACTCTTTGCTAGGATCTTAGCGATCCCTCCATCCTGTCCTCCACCTGACCACAGAGCAGCACGGTGTGGGGAGCGCCACAGCCTGTGGGCAGGGCCAGCGGAGCCCACTGCACCACTCCCACCTGCCCTCTTGGGGTCTGAGGGCTGTGGCAGATTCTCTTGCTAAGCTATCGGTTTTGGGGTGGTGGTACTGCATACTAACGTGTCAGGAGACATGGCTTTGACAGTGAATACTGGCTTTCCTTCCAGGGACAGATGAGCTGTCACTTAATGGCCAACTTTGTTTGGTAGTGCTGGGAGCCAAGAATTTACCTGTGCGGCCAGATGGCACCTTGAACTCATTTGTTAAGGGGTAGGTATTTGATGTAATCAAATATTATTTATTGATGATGTAGTATATACATCATAACCTGGCCCAGAACCTGCAGGGAACACCAAAAACATGTAAGCCACTTAAAATGTCTTATTTTAGCTTTCCTGTGAAAATCTAACATAACACATATTAAAGACCCTGATTTCTGAAAATTCATGGGACGTGTACATGCTGGGGTACCCGAAACCCTAATCTTCTCAGTTCTTGTGACATCAGCAAGCCAGTTTTGAAATCAAGCATTAAAAAGTAGTGTGTTCAGTAAATATTTCCTGAGCTTAACATCTCCTCTTGGACCAACAGTAAAATGCATGCCTGTCCACATTTCATTCTCATTCACTACAGGGCGGCCCTCTAAAAGTAAGGCAAATACCATTAATTATTACATTGAAGTGCAAACTCCCTGTCAGTGACATAAGGGAAAAATGACGGTCAAGATAGAACTGAGGCTGGACGCAGTGGCTCACGCGTGTAATCCCAGCACTTTGGGAGGCCGAGGCAGGTGGATCATATGAGGTCAGGAGTTCACAAGTAGCCTGGCCAACATGAAACCCCATCTCTGCTAAAATATAAAAATTAGCCGGGTGTGGTGGTGGGCACCTATGATCCCAGCTGCTCAGGAGGCTGAGACAGGGGACTTCCTTGAATCTGGGGGGCAGAGGTTGCGGTGAGCTGAGATCACACCACTTCACTGCAGCCTGAGCGACAGAGCAAAACTCCACACCTCAAAAAAAGGAGAACTGAGCTTGTGTTCTAATCCTGTTGCTTATCTGCATGGCCTTGGACAAGCTTTTGTGAGTTGATTTTCCTGAGAACAGGGTTAAAAGGAGATAACGTGTGTATTTGCATTCAAGGCACCCCAAGGAGGGAAGATTAAAATGAGGGCCGAGAGGCCATAGCATGCAACTCGCCCTTTTTACCTGATGCAGAATTCAGCCCTAAGGGAAATGTGCCAAGTCCTGTGGTTCCCACCCTGCTTCACTGTGGAGGGTGTGGATGTTGTGGACTTGGCACTTTTCTTAGTGCTTCTGGTCTGCACGGATGCACAGGCCTCGGGAGAGGAGGCCATGTGGATGACAGTGATTGCAAGGTTTGTGTTCCCTCTTCAGCTGTCTCACTCTGCCAGACCAACAAAAACTGAGACTGAAGTCGCCAGTACTGAAGAAGCAGGCTTGTCCCCAGTGGAAACACTCGTTTGTCTTCAGTGGTGTAACCCCAGCCCAGCTGAGGCAGTCGAGCTTGGAGTTAACCGTCTGGGACCAGGCTCTCCTTGGAATGAACGACCGCTTGCTTGGGGGAGCCAGGCTTGGTTCAAGTAAGTCTGAGATATTGAGCCCAAACATTTATCCTTTGTGATTATCCTAATGGGTACTGTGCAAAGAAAATGCTTGCAACAGGGCAGTGACTTAACTGGTTTTGAAATTGCCTAGCCTTCCTTAATTGGAAATTCCTAAGTCTAGTTTTTACTCTACAGCTGAGCCATAATACAGCCAAGTATTTTGACAATTTAAATCAGATTTAGATCTGCTAAAGAAACAAAAATTATAGGCCTCCAAACGGGCTAGGTACAGTATTTGCTTTTGTTTCTGGCGTCAATCATAAAAGGATTATTTTCTTAAAGGGAAAGATCTTCTTAACTCAAACAAACGGCAATTCAGAAAGTACTTCATCAAAAGTGGTCAACACAGCAATGCTGTCCAGAGCCGCTCGGCAGGGCGCCGCCAGCCTGGTGGGTGGACCGCCCTCTGCTGTGAGGTTCTGTGCCTGGCACTGCTTCTAGCTGCCAGCAGTGTCCCTGGCATGACAACCAAAAACACCTGCACATATCTCCCAAGGACTTCCAACTGAGAACCAGTGACTGAAGAGAAATAAGCCTCACTGCTCAATTACTTTTCAAAGATATTTTGTCCAAAGCTTACTGTCTTCCTCTAAGAATCCCTTCCCCTGGGCAAGCCCAGCCCCCAGTCTGAGACGGCCCCACCCAGCTAGCCATGCTGGTGTGCGACTGTCCACTCCCTTGGTGAAGACCCAGCCCATCACACCAGAGTCCTTGCCTCACTTTCAAACTACAGAGCTCCAGGCTGTTAGAGTCTCGCAGAGCAGAGTGCCTGGGTGAACCCGTCTCCACACTAGCTTTGTTGGGGTGGGGGTAGTGGTGGTTGGCCTTTTAGTGTGGACTGAAGGTGAAAAACTTTTCTGGCTGGTCATTTTCAAAGAGCTGAGAGGGGACGAAGTGGTGCCCTCCCTGACCATGGCTAAGCTGTCATCCTCTCTTACAGAGGGAGACACAGCTGGTGGCGGGGATGCATGCTCACAATCGAAGCTCCAGTGGCAAAAAGTCCTTTCCAGCCCCAATCTATGGACAGACATGACCCTTGTCCTGCACTGATGCGAAGGCCTCGAGGTTCCAGGTTGCAGTGGGTGTGAAGCACTGTGCCTCTGCAGAGTGGGGCTGCAAACCAGGGGCAGGGTCCCAGCTGGAGACCCTTTGGACCTTGAGCAGTCTCCATCTGCAGTCCTGTCCCGTGGCTTAAACGCCTACTGGTATCTGTGTACATTTAAGTTAAACACAGTAATGTATGTTACCTAAGCCTCTGGTGGGTTATCTCCGAGATGGAGAAAATGGCCAGATTTCAATAAATGTTGTTACCGGCATCCTCCAGTGCTTATCAAATGGTAAAAGGCTGGCTGGTGGGCATGGTGGCTCCCCGCCTGTAATCTCAGCAACTTTGGGAGGCTGCAGTGGATGGCTTGAGCTCAGGAGTGTGAGATCAGCCCAGGCAACAGAGATACCCTGTCTACAGAAAAAAAAAAAAAAATTGGCCGGGCGCAGTGGCTCAAGCCTGTAATCCCAGCACTTTGGGAGGCCGAGTCAGGGGGATCACAAGGTCAGGAGATTGAGACCATCCTGGCTAACCTGGTGAAACCCTGTCTCTACTAAAAAATACAAAAAACTAGCCGGGCGAGGTGGCGGGCGCCTGTAGTCCCAGCTACTCGGGAAGCTGAGGCAGGAGAATGGCGTAAACCCGGGAGGTGGAGCTTGCAGTGAGCTAAGATCCGGCCACTGCACTCCAGCCTCGGCGACAGAGCGAGACTCTGCCACAAAAAAAAAAAACCAAACAAAAAATTATCCGGGTGTGGTAGTGCACACCTGTAGTCCCAGCTACTCAGGAGGCTGAGCTAGGAGGATAGAGAACAGGAGGTTGAGGCTGCAGTAAGCCCTGACTACACAACTGCTCCAGCCTGGGCCAAAGGAAGACCCTGTCTCAAAAAAAAAAAAGTCACAGCTTAAAGGAGCGTTTTATTTTTTTGAGATGGAGTCTCCCTGTGTCGCCAGGCTGAAGTGCAGTGGCACAATCTCAGCTCGCTGCAACCTCCAACTCCCGGGTCCTAGCAATTCTCCTGCCTCAGCCTCCCAAGTAGCTGGGATTACAGGCATGCACCACCACACCTAATTTTTGTATTTTTAGTAGACGGCGTTTCACCGTGTTGGCCAGGATGGTCTCCATCTCCTGACCTTGTGAACCGCCTGCCTCGGCCTCCCGAAGTGCTGGAATTACAGGCATGAGCCACCGCACCCAGCGGTGAGCAGCATTTTAGAGGAGCCTGGTGAGTTGGAGTGTCCTCTCCCATGGAAACTGTCTCCAGAGGAGGTTAGGTGACCTACGGAGCACCATGTCTTGGGTTGGTCAGCTCTAACTTACCAGTGTACCCCCAGGGACACCATGGCCCCTCACAAAACCCAGCCAGAGGACAGCATAGAGCCCAGGCGAGTCGGCGGTGGCCCTCCCACCCCACACACAAGTACACAGCCATGCTGCTTCGTGCCTTTGCAAAGCTTTTATTTCATGTCTGCAGCATGGAATCCACCTGCACATGGCATCTTAGCTGCGAAGGAGTAAGCAGTGCACGAGAAGGAATGAGTGGGCAGAACCAATGGCCTCCACAAGCTGCCTTCCAGCAGCCTGCCAAGGCCATGGCAGAGACTACAAACACAAGCAAACAGTCTCTCCATGGCTGGAGTCTGAAAGGTCATAGTGGCATGTGTGTATTTGACAAAATTAAAAGTGTGCATAGTCCATTATATGCATAAAACACTAACAATAAAAATCCTGTTTACACGTGACTGCAGCAGGCAGGTAACCAGCTTCACCACTGCCCTCCTGCCACATCACATCAAGTGCCATGGTTAGAGGGTTTTTCATATGTAATTCTTTTATTCTGTAAAAGGTAACAAAATATACAGAACAAAACTTTCCCTTTTTAAAACTAATGTTACAAATCTGTATTATCACTTGTATATAAATACTATATAGCTGATCATTAATAAGGTGTATAAGTACAACAATGTATTCTAACTGTTAAGCAAAAAAACCTAAAAAAAAAAACTAAAAAAAAATTTATCCAAGTGTCCTACATACACCACTCACGCTGGTGATCACTGCTCTCTGCCAGCTGCGTGGAGTGACGGAAGGAGGGAATCATTGTGTGTGTGCCAGAGTGCTTCAGACTCAATTTCCCAAAAAACTTTTCACCCCTCAAAGCATGTAAATATACAAAGATGGATCCTTCATAGAAATTAAAAACAAAAACCAATTTGAGCTCATTTCAAATACAGAACAAGTATGGCACAGATGGAAGCCACGGTTTCCTTTAACGATGCTGACTCTCGTATCACACAGGCCAGCATGAAGTTTCTTACTCAGACTTTACAGGCATTTTCCGTAATTTAATCAGTCCTGCTCCCAGCACAACACAGGAGGTGATTTGAGAATAATCGCGAGAATCAGGCCTGCTTGGCACTATGATACAACGGGGGAAAACCAACCAGGGCGCCTCCCTGGTTCCCAGCCCAGAATGTTTCTGTTGGGTAACTGCTTTTTAAAGGAACTGGGCTCTCGGAGTTCCTAGACTCGGAGCACTAAAGACACAAGCGTGGCGAGGCTGGCAGTGCCGGCGGCAGCGCCCGCTGTGAGTGCCCCTCTGCCCTTGGTCCTGGCCTGGCCATTACAGGGCCTCGAACTCGTCGATGCGCTGCTTGGTGTTGCCCTGCCGGATCTGCCGCAGCGTCTTGTACTTGTCCCGGCCTTGCCTCATGTTCTCGTTGTGGATGATGTCATTGTGGGTCCTCTTATTCTCATCTCGGGCCTGGGACAGCTCGCTGCTCAGCGTCTGCAACATTAAGCAGCATTGGTCAGGTCCCTTCCTCCCCATATGGCCCAGCCCCTCCCCTAGGAAAATGGGAAGGGCAAGAGGAGTGCTAGGTGGGGCTGGCTCACATCACTGCCTTCCCCAAGCCTGTCTGCTGCAAGAGCGAGGCAGGCCCCCTGGAGACACACAGCCCCTTGGGCCTCACCAGCAGCTGCCGCTGCACACGCTCGTTCTTCTCCGCCTCAGTGATACGCTTCTCCTCATTGCGGTCATCCCGGATGCCCTCACTAGACAGCTCTGCACTGTAGCCCGTGGGCTCCGCACCCTCATCCTGCAAGCTCTCCTGGACATGGTAGCTCAGTGGCTCGTACACGGGGGGTGGCGGGGGCGGGGGTGCCGTCATCACCAGGTGCAGCTCCTCCTTGGTCTTCACCAGGTCATCCTGGGCTTCTTTGGCCTTTGGAAAGCAAAATTAGTAGGTGAGGACTTCTCACCCAAAAGTCCTATCCTCCTGGCTATAAGAACCAACTGTTGCCTCCCTCTGTCCTGGCACGCTAAGGCAGCACTAAACCGTGCTGGGCCATGGCTTCGAAGAAGAGCCCCTCAAAGTGCATGTGGGGTTTACAACCCTCTGCATCCAAGACAGGAAGAGGAACTGTGATGCCGGAGCCTGGGCAGTTTTAAAACTACCATTTCTTTTTTTTCTGTCTATAACTCTAGACGTTATATAATTTTTAGGAAAAAAAATCCTGTTAAATGAGTAACAGGCTCTGTTCCCAGCCTCCCCTCATGCCACGGTCATTATCAAGTGGTCTCCTGCTCACCACTTGCAGTCCTTCCAACAGCGTCACACATGCCCAGTCCTGCCCGCCTCCGTCCCAGCCCTGGAGTCAAGCTTAGTGTGGATCTGCGCTGGAGCCAGCTCTCCTCACTTACCTCTTAACAGGTACTTTCTCAAAAACCTAAGAACCAAAGTCTTCTGCTTGCAACTTCGGATGGTGATATGGCTGTGTCCCCACCCAAAGCTCATCTCCAACTGTAATCCCCACATGTCGGGGGGGTTACCTGGTGGGAGTGACTGGATCGTGGGGTGGTTTCCCCTATGCTGTTCTCATGCTAGTGGGTGGGTTCTGAGTGAGAGCTGATGGTTTCAGTGTTTGGCACCACCCCCCTTTGCTTTTCTCTCTTCTGCCCTCACGTAAGAGGTGTGCCTGCTTCCCCTTCGCCTTCTGCCATGACTGTAAACTTCCTGAGGCCTCCCCAGTCATGTGGGACTGTGAGTCAATTAAACCTCTTCTTTAACTACCCAGTCTCAGGTAGTTCTTTACAGCCGTGTGAGAACAGACTAATACAGATTGGCAGCAGGAATGGGGGCTGGAACAAAGGCAAGGAGGCACTGGCCAGAAGTGGCCCTGGAGAGCCAGGAGACACATCCCCAGAAGGCACCACCACAGATGGAGAAGCCACAGTGGGGGAAGGACAGGCCAGAGGATCTGTGAAGGAGAAGAGCTTCTTAAAGCCTGGTGTGCAGTCTCCAATGGGAACCATCCCCAGACTTTCTCAGGGGCTGTGCCTTCCTGGAGGGCACAGGGGATCCCAGCTTCTCTCTCCCAGAGAGAAGCTCTGTGTGCGTCTCACAGTGACAGCTACAGCTGATTAAACCTCTGTTTGCCAGGTCCTGGGCATGGGACCTCACATCTGCAGAGCCACTTTATGAGTTGGGTATCGCCCCCATTCTACAATAAGGAAAATGAGGCTGGGAGAGGTGATGCTACTAGCCCCCCGTCAGATAGCTGATGGGCAGCAGAGCCCGGCTCTTGCTCCAGCCTGGAGACTTCCGAGGACCTGGATCTTTTCATGGTGCCCGCTATATATATCAGCTGCAGGAGGTTGTGTTTCAGGCACTGCGACCCCATTGCAAGGGGCACATATATAATCAGATTTAAAACCAATTCAGATCAGCTGTCAGAGGAGGCTGTCAGATCAGCACTGAACAGTTTGGGGTGGAGGGAGCAAGGTCGTGAAAGTCAATCATAAGTCCTCCCTTTATGAATCCAGCAGTTGCACTGACTCATGTACAAAGTCAAACCCATCTCTTTGGGGATGTCTACTTCAGTAATACAACTGGTATTGGCAGAGGATCGTGAGACATCCAGAAGCTTCCAGTAGGACATGGCAGCTGAGCCAGACCTCTCCCCTAACCCACCCACATGCAGAAGGGCCCACTGCCCAGGCAGTGGGCAACAGGTGCCGTGGCCGTGCGGCTTCCCCCATGCAGACTCACCCTGTGCTGCCACTCTTCAACCTCATCCTCCTTGCGCCTCCGCGCCTCTTCCAGGAGGGCAATCTTGGCAGTGTATTCTGCAAGCTCCGCAGCCTGGGAAGGGAATGCCAAGCTAAAGTGACTTCTGATATCCTTTCAACAGAGTCCAGTTGTGAATGAGTGTTAATGTGTGTTGAGCAGCCTCCACTGTGACATCTGAGTCCCCGTCACCCCCAC